AATCAGTTTATAGGGTTGGATGAAGATATTTTTTCTTTGTTAACATCAATATATTTTACTAATTGATTTTAGAAAGAGAAAGGAAGAGAGAAACATTAATTTGTTGTTCCACTTATTTATACATTCATTGGTTGCTTCTTGTATGTGTCCTACCAGGGCTCCAACCTGCAACCTTGGTGTTAATATCAATGTTAACACAGTATCACATCATTCTGACAGATAAGAAATTCAGTGGCAAGGAACAATTAAAGAAACATTTTTCTCTGACAAAAATATAATATTTAAATAGATAAAAGAAAAGTATGGCCCTGGACGGGTTGGCTCAGCCTGCAGGTTCTGGTGAAGGGCATGTACTTGGGTAACAGGTTTGATCCCCACTGGGGCCATGTGGAAGACAACCAATCAATGTCTCACATCTATGTTTCTCTCTCTCTCTCTTTCCCCCTCACTCCCTTCCTTCCACTCTCTCTAAAAATCAATGAAAAAATATCCTCAGGTAAGGATTAATAAAAAATCAAGAAAACAAAGAAAAAAGAAAAGTATGAAATAAAAGCACAAAAATTAAAGAATAATTTATAACACCCATTATTTCATTGCCTAAAGATAAATGATGATAAAATTTTGGACTAGGTATTTTCTTCAAGAGTCAGAAAATGATAGATAAATAAATAGATAGGTAGATGTATGTATAAATGGATACAGAAAAATAATCATATTAAATTAGATATAGATACAGATACATACATACAGTATGGCCTTCCTTGGAGTGGACAAGAATGAGATTTAGAGTCAGAAAAGAACTTAAAAATTTTAATTCTCCACTTATTATCTATGAGATCTTGGGCCCATCTATGTCTTCATTTGTAAAGTGTAGATAAAAATATTCACCTTGTGAGACTCTTTGAGAATTAAATGAAATCAACACTGGTTCTCAAAATACAACTCCTGATCATTCACATCAGCACCATTTGGGAGCTTGTTAAAAATGCAAATTTTGGCCCAGCCAGTGTGGCTCAGTGGTTGAGCATTGACCCATGCACTGAAATGTCACAGGTTTGATTCCTGGTCAGGGCACATGCTCAGGTTGTGGGCCCAATCCCCAGTGGGGGGTATGTAGGGGGCGGCTAATCTATGTTCTCTCTCATTGATGTTTCTGTCTCTCTCCCTCTCACTTCCTCTCTTTCTCTCTCTAAAATCAATAAAGAAAAAAAAATTTTTTTAATGCAAATTTTGCCCTGGCCAGTTTGGTTCAGTGGCTACAGTGCCAGCCCTTGGACCAAAGAGTCTCAGGTTCATTTTGGTCAAGGACACGTACGTCGAGTGTGTCTCTCACATCAATGTTTCTCTTTCTCTCTCTCTTTCTCCCACTCCCATTCTATCTGAAGATAAATGGGAAAATATTTTCAGGTGAGTATTTAAACAAAAAAGCAAATTTCCGGCCCTCCTTCCCCCAACCTTCTGCAAAGGCCTGGATGTTTCTGTGTGAATTAAATTAATGCTTGAGAACTACTGAAATGAAGAACTGTATAGAGCCTGACAGGTACTCAGCAAATGTAGCTACTGTTATAAATTATTACATTTAATCTCCTTTTTGTCCTTTATCATCCCCCAATCAGGTTCAATTCAATAGCATTCATTGAGTCAAAAGTTAGTGCCAGGCTGTAAGTGGGGAATAGAGTCCACAGGAAACCCAGCCGCTGAGCCAAACCTGCCACGGCGATAACTGTACTTTATTTTTATTTATTTATTTATTTAATCCTCACCTGAGGACATTTTTTTGCATTTAACTTCAGATAGAGCAGAAGGGAGAGAGGGAGGAAGAGAGAGAGAAACATTGATGTGATACCAAATCTAGTGGCTGCCACCCACATGACCTCAGGGACAGACTGCAACAAAGGTATGTGTCTTTAGCAGGAACCGAACCCAGGACTCTGGTGTGCGGACCTATGCTCTAACCGCTGAGCCAAACCGGCCAGGGCAATAACTGTACTTTAACATGAACTAGTGTGATAGACGGGGGAATCCAGAAGGCCTGTTTGATCAAAGTCTTCTCTGTGTCCTATTTTTACAGATGGCCCAGCACACTGTTTATCAAACATTTGCTTTTCCATCTCCATGTGAATTGCCTTTCTCCCCATTGAAGTTCCAAACAACTACCACCCATTTCTCCTTAGCTCAAGATGACCAAAAAGCCTCAAATGAACCAGTGTTCTAATGAAACCTCTGTACATAAATAAGTAACTAAATGTGGTTATCTTTCTTCTGTTAATCCGCTTCATGTCAATTTGATTATTAGACCAGCCAGACTAACTAAGAGAATGGGAAGGGGGAGCAGGAAAACAACAAAGGCAGAAATGTGCAGCGAAAAATAAAGAGCCACATAATCCAATTGAAGAGAGGAGCATCACATTTAACAGTTTGGGAAAGGGAGAGGGTTTCATGCTCTCTACCGCAATACCTGGCTTTTTAACAATTTCTCTTGTTATTTTTAAACCTTTTTGAAGGTTTAAATAAAATTACACTGAACAGATGTTTACTAGGTATCAATTAGTTATGATCAATGAGTAATGACATTATTACTAACACACATTTGATGGCTTATGGTCATAAAGTACTGAGCAATTGAAACGTAAACGTTCTTGATCACAGATCCTAAAGCTCACTGATCTCTCCAAGTGTGGGTCCTCTGGGGCTCCTATGCTGGTCTTGACCAAAATCATTTTTCAGCTTGCCCACAGTACTGCATCTTGAAATCCGTAAACCCCAGGGAATTCTTCCACACCCTCTGACTTCCTATAACTCAGCACCAAGACCTGGCCCATCTCTAGATAGGACTCCTCTCAGTGCATGGTATTTAAGTTAGTATTTCCACTGCATTGCATGATCCTTGAAGGCAGGGCAAGGCTGCATCTTCTCAACTTTTTTTGTCTCTCACAATACTTTCGTAAGCCTTGAAGGGACTCAAAATAGCCTTTGAGCCCTGGCCAGTTTGGCTCAGCAGTTGGCATTGGCCTGCGAACCAGAGAGTCCCAGGTTTGGTTCCCGCTAGGGGCACATATCAAAAAAAAGATATCTTTTGACATCACACTGAAATTTTTCCATCTTTTTTTCCCTATCAAGTCTACCCAGATACAACTACAACAAAAAAATTGCAACAAGATAGAGAAAAGTCAGTGGATGTTCATTGTGAAAGCATGGAAAACAAATCAGGTTAAAGCACTATTAATACCATGATACCAAATGAATCATGGGCTGTGCTATTATTAATAGCAATAAGAGTAGTATCTAACTGTGAGCAATTTCTGTACACTAAGCAATTCCCATTCACTCTTATTGTGTAATTAAAGGCAGATGTTCTTCTTACCCACTTTACACTGAAGAAACTGAGGCTGGAGGAGATTAAGTAATTTCTCAGAGTCACTAGCAAGAAATGGAGGAACTTGGATTCTAATTTTGCTCTCTCTGACCTTTTATCTTCCCATTGTTCTAGAAACAAGAAAAATGTAAGAACTCAGGAATATTTTCACATTTTAAAATTTATTCAACACCAATGATAGGAGTATTTTCTTAGACTCAGTGTAGGTTCCTTAACTGCCTTCTAAATCTTCAAGGATAATCAAATGATGTCTTCTAGACTTTGCATTAGGTATATTTTATTGTTTTCTAACTTTTTTGAAACTTGGTGGCCTGAGGAGAGTAAATTCAGTTTTTAAAAACAGCACTATTACATGTTTAGAGACTCTGTTATCCTTGCACACTAGAATCTTAGAATTTTCTGTACCACACTATAAAGTTAACTAAAATATTTGTCTCATGCATTTGAGGTAAAAGGAGGTTTACTAGGTTTATTGTATCAACCAGCCCCTTAACTGGTGTAGGGGTGGGGTCCTTTGGAAGCCTTAGAAATGAATTTACAGCTAAATTGTAAATTGTTTGGGTTGGGATACAAAACTATCATACTATCCATTAAAGTACTGTGCTCCCTTAGTGAAAGTTGTCCCCAAATATTAGGATAAAACTAAGAAAAGTCTTTTTGAGTGGAATCCACGTTTCTATCCAGAAAACACTGGGTGCAGAACAATTAGTTCACTGCAGACCATTGTTTGCTTTCAAATGTATCCCAGATCAGGGCTGGAGTGGCCACTTTATCAGAATGGCACAGTCATTGAATAATTTTACCCATAGAAAATACACATAGAGAACAAAGAAAAGAAGTGAATGAACAGCCCTGGCCAGTTTGGCTCAGCGGTTAAAGCGTCAGCCTGCGGTCCGGAGAGACCCAGGTTCGGTTCCCGCTGAGGGCACATACTTCGGTTGCAGTTTGTCCCCGGCCCTGGTTGGTTGTGCGGGTGGCAGCCTCTCGATGTGTCCCTTCACGTCGATGTTTCTCTCTCTCTCTCCCTTCCTCTCTCTCCCTCCCACTCTATCTGTACAAAAAAATGGAAAAATATCCTCGGGTGAGGATAAAAAAAAGAAGTGAATGAACAAACCAACCCTTCTATTCTCCAAGTGCCTCCTTCCGATCTTGCCAATCTGAGTTCACTCATAGTGATTCATGGTGAAACAGACAACAAGAGAATTTGATTCAAATGTGCAGAGCTTACTAAGGACTTTAGTTTCCAAAATCAGCTCCTCTTCCACTAGCACTACAGTTGCCTTCCATTCCATTTCACTTAGGTTGGCATCTGAACAGCTGCAAAAATTTTCCCCAAAGTCCAGAACGCATTCCTAAATTGAACACTCAACCAGGGATGTTTTAAAGGAGACTGTGTTTGGACTTCAAGGGAACGCATTGCCACCTCGCCTGAGATGGGGATTTCCGCTGGTCCCTTTCAGTCATTTCGTCTATTTTGCACTCTGCCCCTAGCTCTGTCCCGGGGTTTTCGTTTTCCTGTAACCAGGCACTAAGAGCCAACCAGAAAGTAAAGAAGAGAAAAACGCCCTCCCGCTTCCAATTCTCTCCATTCCGCTGCTGCCAACCGCAGAGCCTGCCGCGCCAGAGCCGCTGTCACCACCGTAACTCAGCTGGTCGGTTGCCGCCGCCGCCGCCCCCAGATTCCAGAGGCGAAGAACCGGAGGCCGAGACCAGACATGGACGTGAACATCGCCCCGCTCCGAGCCTGGGACGATTTCTTCCCGGGCTCGGACCGCTTCGCCCGGCCGGACTTCAGGGACATTTCCAAATGGAACAACCGCGTGGTGAGCAACCTGCTCTACTATCAGACCAACTACCTGGTGGTGGCTGCCATGATGATTTCCGTGGTGGGGTAAGTGGGGTCCCCTCCGGGCTCTGAAGGGGGCCGCCCTGCGCGGCCGGGCCGGGAGCGTGTGCCCTGCGGGCGCGGCCGCTGCCACCCGCGTGCCCTCGCCCTGCGGCCGCGGGCGGAGACGGGGGAGTAATGCAGTCTGGCCGGCCGCGGGCACCCAGGAGGACTTTTTCTCCCGTGCTCCGATTAGGGTCTTGCTGGGGTAATATTGTAGTGCCCCAGTCTTTTAAAATTAAGTGAGGAAAGGGTGTAACCCTATCCTGGGGCGGGATGGGCACTCTGCCCGCGCGGGTGGCAGGGGTAGGAAGGGCGTGAAGGCGGCGACGCGCTCCGTGGGCGGCTATGCCGTGCGGGCCGCTCTACACGAAAGCTGAACGCGGGGGCACGCCGGGGTGCCCCCTGGGGACGCTTGGCCCAGCGTGGGGCGAACGCTGCCCTCCCTGCCTCAAGGAACCGGGTCCTTTCGTTTTTTCTTCCAGGAGTTGGCAGGCGTGGTCACTTGAACTTCACTTCCTAGCCTGTGGTCTGTGTATCGGAGGCCTTTTCTGTACCCGAGCTTCACGGGAAAAGTGCCTTGTGTTATATGCAGTTTCACACGTGCACACACGCCCGCTGTGCTGGGAGCCGCCTTTTGGTTTAGATTCGCTCACCTTTGCAGGCTGGGGCGGTGATATTCCAGATCTTGCTGCTCCTACGCATCTTCCTCAGACTTTATAAGGAACCCACTCGCAAGGAAAGACCTGTCTGACTTTTCCGTGTCAGAGTAAACACAAGCTGGCCTGGAGAAAGGAGAAATCCAAAGTTGGAGGGTGTGGGAAAGGGCGAGTAGGGTAGTTTCTTAAGTTGGTTTGCTGTTCTTTGTTTTATTTATTGAGTCACTGCTCTGTGTCAAGCTGGGGGCACAGTGGGATCAGAGAGGAATTCTGGCCTAAGGGCATGGCTGGTTGTGGAGAAGCAATAGGACCAAACACAGCAAGAGGAGAGGGAGTCTACAATTTCTGGGTGTGGTTCAGAGTAGTCACCCCAATGCAGACGTGGACGCTCATTTTGTGGGGGTTCCTGGACAGTTAGTTACCCAGGTGCTCATTGTGTGTTGCTTAAGGAACTGCACTCTGGGAATGGCTTGGTGTGTGGAGGGCAGGGCTTTGAGCCAAGGCTGAAGTCCAGTGCCAGCCAAGTTAAAATTAGTTGGGGCAGAACAGGCCTGAGGCAGCTGCCTTCTGAACCTTCCCCTGTCTTTACACTTGAGGCTTATTTCCTAGAACATTAAAAAAAACATTTAAAACAAAATGAATAGTAAATAGGATTGTATCTGTTGCTTTGATTTCTTTTTCTTTTCTTTCTTTTTGTAAAGAAGTGAGCAAGGCATTTAGTTATGGGTTGTTCTTTTATTTTGTTGCTGTTTTTTAGATAACCTCACAAACTTAGATATTGGACAAGGTTGGACACAGACCAAGCAAATGTACCAAAAAAACACTCCCCCAAACTCATTGCTTTTCTAAAAGGTGTACTGCAGAAATTAGACACAGCTCAGGCAGCCTTGCTGGAACACATTTTTCACCGGGATGACCAGGGTCCTCCCTGACTAAATTTAGCTCCCTCATTATGATGTCTCACTCAGTCCACGGTTTGGTGGTGTCTCCCCTTCTCATTCCCCTTTTCAAATTGGAGGTGTTGGTTGGCAGTGAAATTTTTGAAGGTAAAAGTGAAAAATAGCCATGTTTATTTTTTATTATTCTTTTTTTTTTTTTCCATCCTCACCTGAGGACATTTTTTGTTCAGATAGAGTGGGAGGGAGAGAGAGAGAGAAATATCAACATGAAAGGGACACATCAAGTGGCTGCCACCCGCACAACCCAACCAGGGCCGGGGACAAACTGCAATCAAGGTACGCGCCCTTAGCGGGAACCGAACCTGGGTCTCTCTGAACCGCAGGCAGACGCTCCAACCGCTGAGCTAAACTGGCCAGGGCTATTATTCTTATTTTTAAAAGCTTAGAAAAGATACAGGCCGTTAGTAAGTTCTTTTGAAAACTGTGTACAAAATGTGAGATTTCCTTTGTAGCCCAGTAAAAACTTAATGTTTGACTTTCAACTGTGTTCTATGTGTCTGCGAACACACAACAGCCTGTAGTTTTCCCCACAAGTTGCCCTTTTCTTTCTGGATAATCAAACAATTAAGTAATTTACCTGCATTCCTTCATACAACCCAATGAAATGAGATATTATTGTTACTGTACTATGAAACTTGAGGCTCAGAGAGGTTAAATGACTGGCTCAAAGTCACAGACCCAAGCTGGAAGAAACCTGATATCTTCAGGGTCAGGGAGCTCAGCTGATTCTGGAACGGTTTTCCTTCCACAGAGAACTCTCCTCTTGGTGAAGTCAGTAGATGGGTGGGGTCAGAGCAGAGCTGGAGGCTATTGGTCTGGATCTTCTACTGGCTTCTGATGGTTCTCTTGATATCTTGATCGAGTTGTATGAAAATGCAGCCGTTTACTAAGGAAAGGACTCTGTCCAAGGGTGTTCTTCAAGGCTTCCATCCCCTGCTGGTGAGGAGGGGCCTCCAGGGCATTGTGGGAGGGTGCTAGTCTCAGCTCTTACTCTTGTGTTGAAACCCCCTTTACTGAGGACAGAGAGGACCTACCATTCAATTTTGCAGGAAGGGAGAGGGAAGACCAAGAAGATAGAAGGGGCTGCCTATACTGAGATGGAGATTAAGAGGAATTAGGGCCTGATTAGGCAGGGCCTTTCGCTCAGTAGGTCTCCTATGCTCCTTAGGTTAATTCTGAATAAGTCTCTTAGCTATACCTTCTGAGTCTTCAAGAAGTATAAAATAGTGGTTAAGGGTTTAGGCACCAGAGCCAGATTAAATAAATTTTGAATCCCAACTGCCAGTCAGTAGCCATGTGACCCTGGGCAGGTCAGATGAACTACCCCGTGCCTCAGCATCCTCATCTGTGAAATGAGACTAATTGTAGGCCTGCCTCACAAGGCTTCTATGAGGATTAGCTGAGTCAATATAGGCAAGTCTAGAACAGTGTCCAGCTTCAAGGTTTTGCTCCACAAATGTTACTTCTCAATTTTTATCATTATTGGTGTTATCATAGAGATTACTGAGAAATGTAGCCAGCATCTTTCTCCCAGCAGCTCTGTCCACCCAAACTCTAGGGCCCGCCTTACTCACCTCCTTCTGCTTCTTCCTTAAGACTTAACTGTGGGCCCTGGCCAGTTTGGCTCAGCGGTTAGAGCGTCGGCCTGCGGTCCGGAGAGACCCGGGTTCGGTTCCCGCTAAGGGCACGTACTTCGGTTGGATGGTCGTGCGGGTGGCAGCCACTTGATGTGTCCCTTCACATCGATGTTTCTCTCTCTCTCCCTTCCTCTCTCTCCCTCCCACTCTATCTGTACAAAAAATGGAAAAATATCCTCGGGTGAGGATAAAAAACAAAAGACTTAACTATGGGACGACTGTGTGAGGAAACATTCTCCCTTGTCCCTCACTCCCTTGTGTGAGTTGGGTCCCTCACCTGTGCCTGTATCTTTCCTGGTACTTATCCCACAGGCTTATAAGTTGCCTCCATTCGTGGACTGTAGACTTCTTGAGGCCAGAGACTGTGGGTTTTGTTTATGATTATTTCTTTTCTTGTTGTTGTAGTTATCTTTCCTTTTATTCTCTGTATCCCTGAGATCTACTATGTAGCAGATGGTTAGTTTGGTGAGTGCACATAGTAAATGAATGAAAGTAAGGCCTCAACCTGATCACAGGGTCACTTTTACCTGCTCAATGGAACAATTTATTTTAAAGCACATGGCAGCATACCAGTACATAACAACAACATGCCTAAAGGCAAGTAGCTTTATAACAAGTTACAAAAACAGTTCTTGGCAACTGCATAGAAAAGCAGATTGACTTGAGCTCCTGACTCTTCAAACATAAGAGTGGATCTGAAGCATTACGTATCTTTGATCATGTTCCTTAATTTACTAAATTTGTATGCTATCATTCTTATATTAGTCTGCCTAGAAGACTCTCCTGGTTCCACAGACTTTTTATTTTATTTTTTGGCAGAATTCTGGCATTTTCTTTTATTAGCTTACTGTTTAAAAGTTCATTTGCTCTTGAGTTCTATTGTTATAAAATAGGACTTATGTGTTATTTCTTATGTGCTATACAATCAGTTGAAGATTAATTAGCAGTATAACCAAATAGTCATGATGCCAGTCTCCTTTAAACAATTTTATAAAATGTGTTCAGATGAATCAGGTAGCAGGTTTTCATCTGTAAATATGTAACCAGTTAGAGTGTTTTTTGTTTATGAAACTATGAAAGGATGATGTTTTTTAAAAATGGTATGAGTCTACGGTTTAAAGCATAGGATTTGGAGTTGAGAATCTTGTAATTGGAATGCCGACCCCAGCAATGAAATGTTATAGCTGTTCTTGAGCTTCAACTTCTTTTCTGTGAAAAATGGGCATAATTTCTACTTCCCATGGTTGTATGAGACTGCATGTAAAAAATGCTGAATAAATGATAGCTGTTATTAGTAACCTTGTGCTTAAAAAATAAAATAAAATAGGACTTAAATGACTTAATTAAAATAAAGCTCATCAAGGCCTCTCAGATGACAACACTGAAATGTTATTATAGTTAATCCAAGTTACAGGCATATTTAAAATTCTCACAACTTGTTTATTCTCTTAGAAGTGTTAGATGATTGATACACTTCAGTGGTTTTGTCATAATTGCAACTTGTGTTTCTTATAAAACTTTGCATCTCTTGAAGACCAGTTTCCTTTTGAGATTCAGACATCACTTCAGAAGAGATTGAATGATTTGAAAGGAATAATATGAATCACAAGCTGGGGAATGTGTGTTTTACTGAAAATGGCTTTTCGTCCTCTTAAGTCCAGAAAGGAAAGGTGTCTGAGATAAAAGAGGACATGACTTACCTTCTCCATCCTTGTCAGGAGACCTCTCGGCACTAGATATTCTTCTTACCT